GGTAAAAAAAATAATAATTATAACATCATCTGATATTTATTAAGCACTTAATATATACTAGGGAGTGTGCTAAGCATTTCATTAATTATCAGAATTATAGGAGAAAAACACTATCTTTATCTCTAATATATAAACAATGGATGATTGAGCAGAATGAATCCCTGGGCTTCCCAACGAGTAAATGGTGCAACCGAGATTTGGGCCCTGTTCAACCTCACTCCAAGACCTGAGCTATTCATTACTATTCTACATAAGAGAGCGAGGGAGTCACAAAAGCCCAAAGTTTTTTTTTCTTCTTTTGTTTTGTTTTTCCAAGAAGATGGCAGTGGCCAACTATGTCAAATATTGCCAGTAACAAATTGACTTGCCTGCTGAAAAGGCCCCAAAGGGCACACAAGATATAATGGTATCTCCACAATTGTGCCTGAAATGAAGGGTCCTTTGTTACCTTGCCTATAGTACTCCAAAATACATTTACAAACTATCTATTAAGTATATTTTGTGCCACAGTATCTATAAGAAGTAATCAGCGTGACCAAAGTCTACAGTTACATGGGATGCTATTAAAAATCAAGTTGTCATGTACCCAAGGCCATTGTTATTTCTTTTTTTTTTCTTTTCTTTCTTTCTTTCTTTCTTTCTTTCTTTCTTTTTGTTTCCTTGGCCTAAGCATATCAATGATATACTAGGCTCCAAAGATATACCACAAGTCTCCAAATGACTAATTTTTGGAGACACGTCAGAATACTCATATGGGGTTACTTCTGAGTTCAGTTACCTTTCATTGAAAGCTTAATGGTGCTTTACAGAAACTCTGAGAAACCATTGCACCAAATTAATTAAATGTTTACTGAATGCCTTTTATATATTCAGGATTGTATCATGCATGAAGGGTATACCAAGATTCCTCGACATCAGTATCCAAGGAAACAAAACTTAAGATAATTATGTACTGAGAAAAAGTAGGGAGTGCTTTTCTGTGTGACTAAGGAAGATCCTCAGGATGACTTCTGAGTTTGGTCTAATTAAGAAAATTTCCTGGTTTACAAATGATGCCAGGCTTTGTTCAGAAGGTGAAGTAAAGAGATGACGCTGATGATCACGGAAAAGGACAGAGTAGGGGTTAAGAATTATAGCCCAAGGGGGGGTGGAGCCAAGATGGCGAACTGCAGCCAGCTTTTTACAGAAGCTCCCGTCCAGAAGGAGGCTGAAAGGACAGAACCTTAGCAAATTA